GGGTGGGTCATCTCACCTCAACTAACCTAATCAGGAACATTCCTCACAGACATGTCCAACAACTAATCTAATCTAGATAATCCCTTCACAGGTATGCCCAGGGGCTTGTCACCTGGGTGATTCTAGAGCCTTTCAAGTTGACAATATTAACTATCATACTCCCCACCAGAAAAGAAAAATTATTCAGAGTTCTAATACCCTTTTTAAATTCTAAGTGATGCTAAGGAAATGATATTTAAACTAATCCATAATTCCTGCTTGCCTATATTGAACAAACTCTGCTTAGTTCTAACATGCCTTACAGTGATCTATATCTTTGTTCCCCATAAGGTCAAAACATTGAACTAGACCTTGGTTACCATTTACAGCAGGGTTTCTCACACAAAAAGCACTTGTCGATTTGTGAGTCATGTAATCAGCATGGCCAGTTGTGAATATTTTCTATTTTTTATTTTTTGGTTTTTGGGTGGCGGGGGTGCTTTTTGTTGACAAAAAAGCCTTTTTTGACAGGGTCTTGCTAGTCACATCCCACCTGGAAGTCAAAATGTGAACCAGGGTGGCTCGATCTTGCAGAGATCCACCTGCCTTTGCCTCCCAAGGGCTGGGATTGTAGGTAAACACCACCACACCCAGCCAGTTGTGACTATTTTAAAAACAATTGAATAAGATTTAATTGAATAGAAAACATGGTACAGAGCAGATAGATGGCTCAGTGAGTAGAAGCGCAATCCTGATGACTGAGTTCCATTCCCTGAACCCATGATGGAAGAGAGAACCAACAGTTGTCCTCTGACCTCCATGTGCCTCATGGTACTCACACACTCACACAATTCTCTCTCTCTCTCTCTCTCTCTCTCTCTCTCTCTCTCTCTCTCTCTCTCTCTCTCTCTCTCTCTCTCTCTCTCTCTCTCTCTCTCTCTCTCTCTCACACACACACACACACACACATACACACAATCAATAAAATGATTTTAAACCCCAGAAAATGTGGTATGTCACAATGCTTTACAATTCTTTTGGTCAGCTTCATGAAAACATGCAGAGACCTTCATTTATTACATCTTCAAATTATAACCAAAAATCTAGAAAAATACTGATATACAGAAACCTTTAGTCTATGCATACATGTGCCTGTTCAAATGATGAGTTTCATGTCAATCACTGAAAAAGATGTGCAACAATAGTTACTGGTTTCAATTATGATTGTGACATGCCTGTCACTCAGTGCGTCCTTCTTGTCACCAGACTTCTGTGATCGCCACTTCCTCCTGTCCTCTGACTAGCATCTGAGTTGCTTTACTGTTTTATATATTTTAAATTGTTTTTATTTTAGTCCACCAATTTCTGCCTGAGAGATCTGGGAGACCTCAGATGATAGTACCTATTTCTGAAAGTATCTGTAGTTTTATTGGCATGGCTTTTCTCTCACCAGTCACCTAAAATGCTATGAGGGCAAGTGTGGAAAGTAACACAACCCTGGTTTCCTATTTAAAAAAAAAAAAACTGTATCATGTACTAACCCCACATTTTCCTTTGAGCTGGGTACATATGCCTCAAGGGTATAATGTGGGAGTTGGAGACACAGCCTTTCAGTTCCCTGAAGGCTTTCTTTTCCTAAGTGTCAAGGAAGATATTTGTCCTTTAGCAAAATGCATTGGCATCTCTCACATGCCTATTAATATTAAGAGTATTTCAGAAGCCCCTTGGTCAAGGGCCTTTATGTAAGCCTGAAGGCCCTCCTCATTCTCTCTACATTCCTTTTTATGCCTCTCTAGCAAAAGCTAGAAGCAACAAATCATGATTGCTGACGACTATTGTTCATTAATAAATCACATCAAGGTCTGCATGCACTTCTCAGAAAGATACATATTATATCATTTCACCAGGTAGGGCACAACACAATGCTTGTGCAGTTTGACAACTAACAGTGTGCCAGGTTGGTAATTACTATTGCTAACCTCATGACAAAGAGGGACTGACCCAGTAAATTTCCTCAAACAAAGACTTTGGTTATAATCACATGGTTTTATTGCCACTCATTTATGCCCTACAAGTGAATAGGAAAATAGTTAGAAGCCTTTGATATTTATACACACTATTTTTTACCTTCTATTATTTTATTTATTTAAATCAATTTATTTTTGACAACTCCATACATGTATATAAGACATTCTCATTGTACCCCCACACACACCTGCCACCAACTCTCCCTCCTCACAGCAAGTAACCATTTCACTTTTTATGTATTTTTATTTGGGCTTTTATTTTGTGCCCTACTGACTTTTCCTACAGCTGCCTCCTTGGGCCATGGGTTCGAAGCTATCCACTGCAGCATAGATAACACACTAGGGGGATACCGCTGAAGACAAAGATTTCTCTTTGAGCATCCCTCAATTGCCATTCCTCTGGGAGGGCTGGGGACTGCAGAGCCCCTTCCCCATCTATTATTGAGTGGTTATTGTCTTGTGCAGGCCCCATGAATGCTACCACAGCTATTGCTTCTGCTGCTGTGAGTTCATGAGTACCATAGCCATGTCATGCCCATAAGACCACATTGCCCAATCTAGTCCTAATATATACCTAATGAAATAGAAACAGGGGCTGGAGAAGATGGCTCAGCAGTTAAGAGCATTGATTGCTCTTGCAGAGGACCCAGGTTCAATTCCCAGCACCCACACGGTGGCTAACCATTTGTAACTCCAATTCCAGGGGAATTTCATGCCTTCTAACCTTTGTGGGCATATATATAAGTGTACGACATGGGTACACTTACACACATGCAGGCAATACACTCATACACATAAATAAAAATAATAAATAAAATATTTTAAAAATTAAAACATACTTCTAGACAAGAACTTGTTCAGTGAGCTAGAGAGATGGCTCAGTGGTTAAGAGCACTAGCTTCTCTTTCAGAGAACCCAGGTTCATCTCCCAGCACCCACATGGTGGCTATCAGTTGTCCATAACTTCAGTTCCAGGGGATCTGTCACTTTCCTCTGACCTTTTCGGACATTGTGTCCATGAGTGAGCTCACTCATAGAGATGCAGGCAAAACACTCATACACATAAAATAAAAAATAAATACACAAAATTTTTAAAAGTTGTTCATGACTGTTCATAGCAATTTTATTCATAATAGCCAAGCCACTAGAGAAAAACTATATGGTTATCAACTAGTGAACACAGAGATAAAATGTGGCATGTCGATACAACAGCATATCATGCTGTAATGAAAAGGAATCAAGCATTGATGGAATGATATAATATGAATGAATTCTGAAAACATCCACTAAGTGAATGACAGCAGTCATAGAAGACCATGTGTTGTATTATTTCATTTACATTAAGTGCTACAGAAAAGGCAAATGTATAGAGGTAGCAAGCAGTCATGGATTGTCTACAGGAGATAGTGATTGCTTTATGAGGATGGGCCTTCTTTCTGACATGATGAGGATTATGGTGATGATTACAAAATTCCACATACAAAGACCATCAACCTGCATGTACCCTTCCCATGGATGAATTACATGGGATATAAATTATATTGCCATGAAGCAGTTTTATAGTCTATCCATGTCTCCATCTATCAGTCTATCTAAAAGAAAGATACCACCCTATTTGGTAAGCACCGTATCACTGAGGCCTACTAAGGTGGAAAAAAAATCTGTCCATTTCTAAAATGAATGTTTTCTCAGAAGATGGTTCCAAAATGGAGTTTTTAGGATGAAGATAAAAAAGGGAATTTAATGCTGCCTTTTAAGACCTCCTTTGGAAAAATCAACAAGGTTTCCCCCTTCATTTCTAAAGTTCAAAGCCCTTTGGTTCTGCTTAAAAAGAAAAATCGAATCTTTCTCACATGCTACGTTGACAGTGATTATGTCCAAAAGAAAAACAGTCAGTCATATTCAAGTTTTCCTATCACAGTTCCTTATCAACACTGCAGAGTAGCTATCACACGGAGTGGCGAACTCCACGTGGTGCTTTCCTGTCTTTGGAAGTGGTGCTTGGGTCTGTAGAGCGCAATGGAGGCTCCTGGGGCTGTCAGGGGACCAGAACAAGGATGAGCAGAAGTGGGAAAACTTTAAGCATCCATTATCACTGTTCCTAACATTTCTTGGAGTCTTTGCATGAGATTCAGGCGACCACAGAGCAGAAGAAACAGATAAGGATATTGATCTTTCAGAAGTTTCTCCTAAACTGAGATCTTCACTCACCTTCCCAAATGGAAACAAGATTAGGACCACGCAGCATACTTTAGTCAGTCATTTATTCTTATTGCTAGTTCAAGTTGGCATTTTCATCTCACCCTACAGGTTCGTACTTTAAGTGTGCTCTTCATGTGTACAAAGAACATAAGAATCTGGTTGGGGTAGAAGCTGCCTGTAACCGCTTTTTGCTTCAGGAAGAATGTTTCCATGATTCTGTCCCAGCAAATACTATTCAATTTTCTCCTTACATAGTATTGTAGATGTTACCCTTTGATACCGAAATTTTCATTTCAAAAATACGTCCCTCTGGTAAAGAAGCTAATCCAGGAGTTCTTAAAAAGGTAAATAACAACCATGCTAAGGTGAAATGGTACGGTTGGAAACCATGAGGTCCATTTTTTTATTTTTTATTTTATTTTTTATTTTTTTGGTCTTTTTGAGACAGGGTCTCCCTGCAGCCCCAGCTGTCCTGGAACTCACTACGTAGACCAGGCTGGCCTTGAACTCACAGAGATCCACCTGCCTCCCGAGTGCTGGGATTAAAGGCGTGCGCCACCACTCCTGGCTCCATGAGGTTCAATTTTATCACCAGTCTTGCTACTTAACACTAGTTAGTGTGTGGCCCCAAAGTTCATGCTCCTTTGAAGCCAGTTTCTTCTCCTGTAAAATGGCAGTACTCAACGAGGACTTCTTCACACACAGTATTTTCTTAGCACCGTTCAGACGCCCTTTTCGCTTCTCACACTTTCTCTGTCCTTACTCCCCCTTCTTTTCTTTCACGTGGTGTAGGTGGCCTCTATCTTCAAGGATACCGGGTGAGTGAGCAGACTCATAGCTTCAAACAATCAGTGATTGAACTCAAACCTCCATTAGAAGAGTTCAAGACTCTATTTCTGTGCAGAAAATAAAACAGAAAAGAAGCGGTAAGCGGAGCTCTTCCTACCCCTTTCTCCTTATCAGTCTGGAGCAGTTCTTAGCAAACACATATCCTTGATTTTTCCAACTTCTCACTTTCAGGTAAATCTGTCTGTTTCTTTGTAGGCTCCTAGTTACTATTCTCTAGGATGTTTTTTCTTTCAGTTCCTTTTCCGGTGACTCTTCTAGAGGTATTTTTTTCCCCAAATAAAAGTAATCTTCAGTTCCTGCCAAGAGCATGGATAACTCATGGCATCAACACAAAGCAAAACAAAACAAAATATAAAAATTAAAAAATTAAAAACCTACCAACACTGCAATCTTTAAATAATCCATACTTTTTATTATTTTTATTGGCATCTCTTATTTGTGAAAAACACAAATCTGTTATTTGACCTCTTTTCACACAGTTTATATTGATTTGTCCATTTATATTTAGTTGGTGGTTTTATTATAAGCCACTGAAGGACATAAAATGTATTTGATCTGTGACAGATTCAATCTCAGGTTGTCATTCACAATGAACATTAGCTCAAATTTTTCTGAGATAGAATAGTAGTGAGGTGAATAGAGATAAGACATGAGGCGCGAGACACTGAACATCCTCCTCCACCTCCCCAGTCTCCCCAAGACACCCCTACCTTTCATCCTTACCTTCGCCTGCTTTCTGCCAATCTCCCATCTGGGCCAGACCCTTTGTTGCAACGATCTGAAAACAAATAAAAAGATCTCAGAAAGAAATTTTTCCAAGGACATTTGCAAGAATTCAGTACATTATTTTAATTCAAAGAAATAAAACTCCCAAAGTGGAATTTCAGGGATCTCCACCAAATGACCATTTAGGGAAGGGATTAGGGATCTCATAGGCCTTTCACCACTATGGGGCTATATGAACTCTGCTGTTCATTGGAAAGGAGGTGCTAGAGAAGGGGAAGGAGGGTAGTGCTGCTATGTGTGTTGCCATGGTTTCATTCCTGGACAACCTAAGCAGTAGATAAAGATAGCAAGGCTCCAGCTAGCGCATCAGAGACAAGGTCAGAGAAACAGAATTAAGTCCATTCTGATAAAGTCTAACTGCTTCTCCGCAACAGCAGGCTAAGTAATTGGACCTCACTGTTAGATTCATAGGGTTTTTTGGTTGTTTTTTTTTTTTACCAGTAAGAAACAAAATTGAGTCACCACAGAAATATGTCAAAGCTTAACAGTAGTGGGGAAAACACATGAACTCTGAATTCACAGGTACTGTACTTACTTCTACCATAAGTTTTGAAAGTGAAAAAATTACATTCCCTACTCAGAACCACAAGTTAACTTATTAGCGTTTCTGAGACAGCCTGCTGGAAATACTGTTGGGTAACTGTTTTGGTTATTGTGGTAGTCTTCTAAAATAGCATCTGCTCTTGCAGTAAATGTTTAAAAAACTGTCCAAGAGAATGAAAGCAAGATAGGGGAAAGGACAATTAACTAGAGGTATGCTGTGGTTGCTAGAATTTTAAAAAGAATTTTTTTTACCTATATGGCAATATTTGATCATTACATGTTATACTAATAGCAATTATTTAAACCAGATAGCTTCATTAATCACTCTTTATAAATACCATACTCTGTTCTGAGCCCATTACTTTCATTAGTAAATTGTTTCCACACTTGGTATTTTACCTTCTCATTCAATCTAGAATCTGTAGATCATGAGTATCCTATTAATTCCAAACTAAATAACCAAGAGAAACAATTAGAAAAAAAATTAAAGGATTTTGGCACATTTTGCCTCCTCAGAAGCTAACAAGTACAGGTTTAATGACATGTTATTTTTTTTCCCTGCAGCTGGATTACAGCTTTGAAAACATCTATCAAAAAATGGTTTCCTTTGGACCAGGCTATTCAAGAGTTCATGAATCGACCTCTAGAAGAGACCCAAATGTAAGGGAAACTCTAATGAAAAAGAAAGATTCCACGAAGCTGGCACCAACTTCCAGAAAGAACCAAAACATTTCTTTTCTACATTTTAAAATATCATTTCTCAAATATACCCCTATTGTATTAAAATTTTTGGTAAGATTATAATTTTGCTTTTGAGCCAACCCATTATCATCTAATAATGTTCAGGTATCCCACTTATATATTTCTACCTTAGCTAAGCTGAATATGTTTGCATTAAAATATACCAGGTTCCTTACCTCCATTTTTGAAAGCATAAATAAACATTTATTTCATTTTTGTTTTCTAAAGTCTTTGCTAAATCTTTCATCTTGAGCTTTGGCTGCATGCTTCCTGGCATATCCTTGGGCCATGATACATGACATTTCAGAAATTAATATCATGGAAATGAAATGGCTTAAGTGATAAGCAAGTATTTCAGCTTAACAAGGTCATCTCTCTTAGGCTATCTTACAGTAAACAGGACTAAGTGCACCCCCAGGACTACTCAGGTGAAGGAAGTAACAGAAATCATTGTCAGAAAACAAAATAAGGAGTTAGACTGAATTTAAGGGAGACGACTCAAAGGTATGGCTCTGACTCACCATTTGAATTTAATACTTCAAACACAAAATAAATCAAGATTTCTCTGCTTTGGGGATAGTAAAATTTGGAGAAATTTGAAAGAGGAATTAAACATTGGCTTTATTTCTCAATAGAACAATCTCCATGTTTTATCCAGGAGGTTGTAATACATTTGTAAGTCCTATGCCCTCACTAATGAACATGGATCACAGATTTCATGTTCAGCTGTAAGAATCAAGCAGCCTGGAGCAACTCACATGTATATTACATAAAGGGAAAGGAAATCTATCTTTTCATAAATAATGGTGTTACAGAGCCATTATAACCTTACAACTCAACTTCTCTTCCTTACAGAAGACAAAGTAGGTGGTTGCTAGCTGATACCCCTAGAGGTGGTTCATGGAAGAACTGGAGCTGACTCCGGGTCTCCACCTCCCTATCCAGAGCCTTTGCATTCATCACTTTCCTGGTCACTGTGCCCAGGAAGATACAATATGGTTTCACAAAGTCAATGAAACCACTTGTCAAATGCTTCCTGTCCCCAGCCAAGAATTGAAGCAATAATTCATACTTTTCTTTCCTAAATCTCATGGAAAGAGTTCATGTTATTGTAAATTATACTCCTTACCAGACACTTGTGAGTATGAAAAACAACATTCCTGCCACTGGCCCATACTGTTATTACTCCTTTGCCAAAATGAATGTGAAGTCCTCAAAAAAATTGCCACAGCTTGCATCCATTATTCATCATAACTCAGAAAAGGAGGCTTGTGAGTGAGGATGTGCTACTTAGTTCATCTATTAAGAGAGGCTATCTAAATGAACTCGTGCCAAAGATAACATGCTACAGTACTCTGGCCAATCTAATGCCATATTTAAAAAAATTCAATAAACAACACACAGTCCTCTGTTCTGAAATTGTTCCTTTGTTCTCACAGCATCTACCATGACAATAATGAGGTCTTTCAGCAGAATCATCAGTTATGCTCATGTCAGAAACCTGGGGCTTGTACATCCACTTCCCAGTAGTACTTTCAGTCTCTCTGGAGCCCCGCCATGGAATGCACAAACTGTGCCGTTACCAGGCAGCCAGCTCATGACCACAGCCAACTGTAACACTGGCATGGAGCTTTCCCCTAGAGGAGAAAAACAAAAGCAAATACCTCGGTAAGATGTGAATACGGTGTTCTCTAAATCATGCATTCACATAAATTGCTTGAAAGTGAATACTCTCAACCTTCAAAGTTCAGAGACACCATCCAGAATCTACTGTTATTATTCTTGGAAGGTTCTAGTGAGCTTAATAATCCTGAGTGTTAAGCAAAAATATTTCCTTATAAGCACTTTCATGTAGAGAGGGTTCTTTGCTTTTACATGATTCTCCAAGAGGAAATGTGACCAAAAGAAAAAAAAATTCAGAATATTTCCCAAGGCGTCAGGTTCGAATCTCTAATGATATAAGCAGAATGGAAAAGTACAAGACCAGTGTTCTACATCTACAGTAACCTATTGTACATTTTAGGCTCAACCTTTAGCAAATCATTCCTCATAAGTCCACTGGTCTGTCAGTCAGTAAAAATGTAAGTATATATCCTGGGTCACACATACTGTCTGCCATCAGCCTATTACCATTAAGGAAAGGCAGAAAAAATATTCAGATCACACACTGTACACCAGTGAGTCTGAGTTCTGGTTATAGCTCTGCCTCTTTTTGGCTCTAACCTCGGGAGGTTACTTGAACTTTATTTGATTTATTTTCCTCATCCACACATGAGGTAGTATCTTTCTCAAGTGTTTGGGAAAATTCAATAAACTTAACCTTAGATGCAGAGTTCTACAAAAGCATATGGTCCCTGTAGACTCTCAGTAAGATTTTCAATTTTACAGCAACAGTTGGTCAGCTTATACACAGACCTCACGTCTTTGTGAACAGCTTCAGAAAACTACACCTTGTCTTCTAAGGACCTGAAGGTGGAAAGGATATAGACAAGATCCATCATGAATCTATCTAGACAGCATTTAACAGAGAGGACTTGCTGATCTCATAACATGGTCAGGTCTAAAATCCAAATGACTGACCTACAATTACCAAAACTCCTTGGTAACCTTGATTTTCCATTAGCATCTCTACAAACCCCAAACTGATTTCCAAAATTTGCTTGCAAGGTCCCTGCATGAGCTGCAAGATGCTGGTAACTCATTCTCATTCTACTCCACCTGCTGACAATGTACACACTTCAGGGAATAATTTCTAGACTTTTCTATGCTCAGATTTCCCAGTAGAACTATATTCAGTGAAGATTAAAAAACTCTCAAACAAAATAGTTTGTTTTCTTAAGAAGGGAATGCTAAAAATCAATCAGCCCATTTCCTTATTTATCTTATCCACAGAACCTGGAAACATTAACTTCCAAAAAATATTTTCTCCACAGAGATTTAGCTAACGTAGAAGAATTGTGTATTCCAATTAGAGAACAAATTTTCTAAAAAGTAACCACTGTGTTCTTATAATAAATTTGCATCATCTACAGACATATACACAAATCATATTTGCACATACATAGGCTTAATATTAATTCATATTCTTTTATGTTTTCAAGTCCACCTTTTCAGAATGGAATCCATTCTTGAGCAGATAACTTTTGTTTCAGTGACTTCTTCACAGGCTATTAGTCCAAAGCAGATAAATACCCAGCATGCATAAACAAGTTTAAGAAATATTATAGAAAGCTCTCTGATCAATCTTTTGAAGCAAAATGGAAGGATCTCCGTAGCTACTATTTCATGCCTTCAGAGATTAATAAATATGTGTCTCTTGCTTACTATGTATCCTGAAACTGTCATAGTGTCCAGTATACATTAAGCAACTACTATTCGTCAAATAGAAAGATGAATGAATTCATTTGCCAATCTGATCATAGAAGAAATTTGAGCCCGCTGCTTGGAGTTTAGAATCTCAGTTGTTTTAGGACTGAAAAATTCATAAATCTATAGGAGAGACCTTAACCATAAATCGATTATGATTCTGAGGTGATGGTGGAATATACGTCAGGAGCAACCTGAACAGGATTTGGAGCCTAAGAGACTCAGCATCTTTTTTCTCTGTTTTTCTGCTACTAGGTACATTTGCTTCATTCTTCATTTTTCCTTAGTTGACTCTAGTTGTTCCAGAGCATGAGTGCATGAACCATGAGCTCCAAATCTCATGGAAGTTACAATGCCTTATCAACATCCACACACCAATATTGCTCCAAATTCATAAAATACATGGACAGAGGTTGGGACAGCTAAGTCTTTCCAGCAATCACGTGTTCAATGTGTCATGGTTAGGCACTCTCTATATCAGTAGTAAGAGCAAAGCCATGTCCAGCAAGATGTTTAGGAGACCCAGTTTAAGGAAAGTAGTTTGTCCTTATCAGTACTGAAAGATAGGAGCCTTCATAGCTTCATCCATTCCTTCTTTCTAACACTTGAATTCTGAGCCACTTGACATGCATGACCGGATCAAGAATAAGGCTTAGGCAGCTTCTCTTCAAGTTGAGCTATTGTTATTGCCCTCAGAGAGACTTGAGACAACATGATCATAGAATTTACTTCCTAAGTCAGACATTTTGAGATGAGACATTATTTGTAAATATACTGAGACAAAGAATGTCCCAATAAAAATAACATTCCAAAGCAAAGCACAGTCATGTGCAATGTTATGAATAATGCATAATGTATTCTTTTCTAACTTATCCACCTGTAGGAACATAATTTTTGCTGCAAACTATAAGTTTGTCTGTTCTTGGGTCCAGTTTCCTATGAGAAAATAATTTCCATCATTCAATCCTAGCTCCAAAAAATTAATAGGCAAATTATTTTTGACAAATGAAGGGAATACAATATGGAGAGCTCTACAGACATGATTTAGTTTGGTTGGAGTGGAGTAGGAAGAGGAATGGTTGCATTTCCAAATAATGGAGTCTTTAGAAAACTGTTAGAATTTTTATCTTACTTTCATCAGTTATGAAAGTTATGTAGGAGACTTAGAAGCCAAAGAATCCTCATCAAATGGTTAGTGAGCTGTACTTGTCACAGTATAATGGATGCAGTAGAAGATACAGGATCCCTATGTCAGAGACAAAAGCAGTTACAGCCCATTCTATCATACTTGGCATGATACAGGATCCAGCCCTGACATCCATTTGTTGTATTGCCTGAAACAAGTCACTTGATATTCAACTATTTAATTTCTTAACCTTTATATTTGTACTAAGTAGACCCAACTGAAAAATAGATTTCAAAACTAGTTTTCATAAGCAAGAGGTTTTAGGAAACTGTTGCTTTTGTCTGAATGTTTAAGGAAATAGTGGAATCAATTACCCTGTACTTTTTAAGATGTTACTATGTTTTTGGGTTTTTTTTTTCTGTCTTTTTGAGACAGGGTCTCCCTGTAGCCCAAGCTATCCTGGAACTCACTCTGTAGATCAGGCTAGCCTTGAACTCACAGAGATCCGCCTGCCTCTGCCTCCCGAGTTCTGGGATTAAAGACATGCACCACCACACTTGGCATAAGATGCTACTATGTTTTAC